TTTAAAAAATTTGAAAAATTTAACTAAAAAACATTTTCAGTTTCGGCCTGACATTGTTTTATTTCGGTTTCGTTTCGGTTTAAAATTTTCCATTTCGGTGCACCTCTAATGTTTTTATATTTTAAATAAAAAAGTATTACATATTTGAAGTTCTTCTTTTCAAGAGAATGCATAGTGGTTTTCTACACATTTTCTTTACTATAGTCAGGATTAATAAAATAAGTTTTCAGAATATTTTTATTTTTTTTAATCGGGTAAATCTAAAAATTAGCAAATTATTATGTATCATTTTGCTTTTGAGACAACAAGTTGTCATGGGACCATGGGTGCCCTCTTACCTGAGGTCCGGTGGGTACGGCAAAGCTTTTAGGGTCCCTCTTGGGGTGATTTGGTGCCCGTCAGCGGCGGGTTGCGCGAGCGCATGCATGAGGTGCACATATGATGCTGCCGTGGCTTATTAGTCACCTCGGGTGCTGATCTTTTCCAGGGAGGGCCTTGCGAGCACTCCTTCTCTCCTAGCCATCCCATTGGTTCCCAGGGACCTTGTTGCCCAGACAATGGGGGCGTCGCTGGCCTCTGCTGTGTTTAAATTCCAGCCAGAGCCAATACTTGTTGCTGAGTTATTTTGCCATACCCAAAGCAGCTACAAAGCCTAATTTCCTGTTTCCTGCCTTCCTTCCCCGCTATTTGGAACACCTGGTTATCGACCCCTGGCTTGTCTCCCTGTTTATGATACTTGTTGTCTGCCTCAACCCAAACTGTACTCTGACAACGCATTTTGGATCATCCTATCTTGTACCTCAGCCTGGACTCTCCTTCTGGTATTGTTCCCTGCTATTGGGTTCTACTCCAGCAAACAGGGGGACTTCGCTCCTTCCCTAACACAAGTGGAGCTTCTGTCTACTTTACATACATACATAAACACACACACACACACACACACATCTTTTTTACAGTCTGTTTAAAAAAACCTTCTATTCTAGTAATACAAACAAATATATTTTTGCAGGCTAGCTGGAAAGTGTGCTGGAAATTTGTTTATATTGAGGAGATCCTTTCCATGACCACCTTACTTAAGCTAGTTACTAATTCATTTGTGCAGTTGCCATATTTGTTTTGCTGGATTTGGTGCAGTCACTCACTGGGAGCATCAGCTGTGATGTGCTGGGCTTTGGGTGTGTCCCTGTGCCTTTAAGGAGGGATGGGCTATCTGCAGGAGGATTGTCTATTGCTATATATGGTCCAAGATGGAGGCTTGCATTGATTAGAGTTAGGACCACACCACACAGAGGGGCCTCGTTGAGGCAGTGTTACTTCTCCATATTTTGCAATAGTTGTGAAACTAAAACCTCTGTTTTTAGCACAAGTTGGGAGATGGTGTAAAACCTTTTTTGCTGGTTAGCTGGTAAGTGTTCTGTGTTTGTAATGTGGAAAGCCCTTCCATTACGTTAAAAGCTAGTTACTGATTGATTTGTGTGGTTGCATATTTGTTTTTCTATTCCATTAACTCATGCTTTACAGTAGGGCTCACTTCAAACATTCAGACAAATGGAGAGAAACAACTCCCTGTACACCTTTTAACATTTTTAATCAAGTAAAGATACCCTTTTATACACTATTTTGTGCAAATGCCCACACATCCTAAAGATTGATGTGTAACAATTAAAAGATAAAAGCAAAAAAAGGGTGGGACATTAACATACTATAATATAGTAACATCCGGAGGAACTGCAAAGTGCAGATTTTACCTGGTCTTTTTAAATCTCAACTAGGGGTTGATTTACTATAGACAAATGGGCTGTTTACTTTGCAAGGAAATGTCCCCTTAGTTTATTTAGTGCTTCCAATATCTAATCATTAAGGATGGGCTGCATGTTCGAGTTGACCATAGGTTCGACTCGAACATTGCATGTTCTAGCGTTCTCCGAACGCCGAACATTATGGCATGTGCGCGGTCTGTTCGACCCCGGCACATCCCACAATGCACTGCGCCGTCCGAAAACGGTAGGTCAGGTGCAAGACTGTGCCAATCAGGGCTCAGTACAAATGTAGAGCCCTGATTGGGCAGAGTCACGATGACTCTGCCCAATCATGTCTCACAGCTAAGTCCCTGCAGCACACTATATAAGGCTGCTGACACTGCGGCCCCATGTAGTGTGCTGTAGGAGATAGAGAGGGTTCTAGTATAGTTAGTTACAGTCAGCAGATAGATAGAGAGTTAGATAGTTAAAGAGAGTTATAATAGACTTATAACTTATATATATAACAGGTGCAATAGCTAGTTTGCTATTGGCTATTGCAAATTGAAATAGCCAATAGGAATGTAGCTATGCATTCCTATGCTGTTTTTTTTTTTATTATTCTGAGGGCAGCCAACGGCTCCGATGTCAGAAGAAAAAAAGAAACAGAGCAGGGAAAGGTTTACTCTGCTCGTTCAAGAAGAGTAAAACTTTCCAGGAGAAAGTATTTCTCTACCAGGTGGCCGGGAGCGGCTAACTAATAGCGGGAGACTCCCGGAGTGTCCGGGAGAGTTGGGGTGTCTGGAGATCAGTGTCCAGGGATGCTGATCTGTCTGTGCAAGTGACCGGAGCCAGCTGTGAGATGATGGCTGGCACCGCCCAGCAGTCAGGGGGCATGGCGTGGCCCCGGAAACGCGTCATCGAAGAAGTCCTGTGCTGTTACACAGGCGTCTGTGCAGCTGTTTTTAGTTGTCGTCCAGGCTTGCCTATTATGCTTTTACTCTGATTCACTTTTGTGAGTATGATTTTACCCTGTACTTCAACTTTTATCATTAAAAAAACATCTACACTAGGGTGGGGCACCCTTCTCTTTTGTTTTCTCCTATAGATTTAAAAGCTGTTTATATTACAGTTGGTGTGGAAACTGGATAGAAAGAGAACTACATATTTGGAAAAAATTTCAACCTATAGAATGTGCATTTAAAAACACATAGGAGCTTCTGTTGTAAAAGTAGAGAAAATGAAATGCAAAAGTCTTTACCATAGTAAAAAATTAAATGTCTGCTTCAATTTTCTAACAAAAACCGGAAAGGAACTGAAATGTTTATGGTTGGTATGGACAATACTTCTCCTTTTCTCCTACTTTAGCCTTATCAGTTTACAAAAGATTGTTGAACTACATCCAGCAAATAAATGTTGAAATATTATCAGCTGTAAAACTATATGTAGTCTTCATGTATATAATTCTTTTAACAAGAATAACTTACTGTGACAATCTCATCCTCTGCCGCTGCTGATTCTTTAGCTACCTTCATCATAGCTTTTTGAGTGTCGAGATTGGTAAAATAATTCACTGCAGCAAACTCAATAAGTGCAGAGAATACGAAGGCAAAACAGACAGCTATAAACCAGTCCATTGCAGTTGCATATGATACTTTTGGGAAAGAGTGCCTTGCACTAATGCTTAATGTGGTCATTGTAAGAACTGTTGTAATCCCTTTTAAAATAAAGAAGAAAAAATAATATTAGTAAATTATAATACATTACTTGTATACACATACCAACACACATACATACACAAAGGAGAAAATAAGAAAGTCAACTAATGCTGAATGTGTAAACCATTACCTTGGCAAATGAACATTAACTAGGACATTATCTATAAAGAATTGTACTAAATGCAGAGGCACCCTAATTTCTCAAAAATTCGCAATTTGTGACAAAACATTCAGATTTAAGTCTGATGTTTTTGCTGCAGGAGGTGGGGACCAATCTGGGAGACCACAGACCAGATTGAAACAATACAAAGCAGGCCATCATACATCCTATTAATTAAAACGTTCATAAATCCCATTATTAAAATGTTGCAGTTACAGCATCTTTGACAGGACACAGGCCCAGTGTCGTTTAAACCATCATCAGGATGTCCTGTTATGCATTATCGTGCTCATAACTATCATAAAATGGTCTAGCAGTAATACCCATTGGCAAATCTGGTCTTCCTTGAGATGCAACTGGCCTTTCATACACATCCAGCACTCAAGTCTGGCCATATGTCGTAATTAGTACTGTAACGGGGATATCTCCAAAAAACATGGCTATGCTAATTTATAAGAGAATGACCATCAATTTGATACCAAACATGCCCATGAAATAACGTGCAGCAGGCAGATTGGTCATATTAAATCTTCTAGGGAATATAGAAATCCGATTTATGTAATGTTTGGTCTTTATAAAATCATAATTTAAATCTGTTCAATAATATGTTTGTTGTCGAATTGTAAAACTGATCCTTTTGGAAAAATGGATAAAGGTCGATAAGTTGGCATTAAAGGAGTGTTCATTGAAGTATAATACATCAGCACTGCTACCTCACACTTCTCAGTTCTTTTGAATGGTTGGCTCAGCAACACCCTCTGGGGGTTCAACAAAAACGATGTTGCAATTAGCAGCTGTAGCTCTTGTTTACCACCAAAATTATAAAGGATGCATGAGGGCTGATGACCTTAAAACTTCAAATTGAACTCTGTATTGGATTAGACTATGCCAAAACCAAAGACCAGGTGAAATTTGCTAAGTACTTTTCATTTCCAATCCCATTTATTTTACTGTATCTTATTGTCTATTTTCCAATATCTTTTCTGTAAACATTGTCTTGCATCATTTTTTTTTTCATTAAAATTATATTTTAAAATCATTAAAATACATTTCTAAATTCTAAAATT